TGTTATCTAGTCTAGGTAGGTATAGGCCTTTCAAGGCCAGTCCTCTAATAGAATAAAAGTTATAAAGATGTTTCCTCCCACATTTCTGATGTTCAATACTTTCTTAGACCTTTTCGGCATGTGTGATGTGCTTGCTCTCCCATACTCAGGGACAAGATGCTGGGGAAACACATAGCTTGAAGCCAGATAGATCTAGGTTTGAATCCAGGCTCTGCCACTTGCCAATTATAGAACTTCAGGCAAGTCCCTACCCTTCTATGTGCCCCTGTTTCCTCCTCCGTAAACTGGATATAATACTAGTACCCACCTACCTTGTGGAGTGATCATGTGGATCAAATGAAATCATGAATATAAGGATTGAGCTCTGTGATCAATATGTTTAAATAGGCTAAAACTGCCATCATCAGCCTGCGTAGTATCATTATTAATCACTTTGGTGAAGTTCAAAATAGTGCAGTATCCTGCCACACCCTGTTTTCCAAGATGTTCATTTGTCTGTGTCTCCAGGGCTTAACTTTACCACTGGTGTTTTATTCATTAACTGTTCTTTAGATCATTGGCATGAATGAGCTCCCCAATATTTTAGAAATTGCTGGGTAGAATTTACAAGTTCCTGGGTGGGATGTCCAGCACATGCATGGGGCTGTATCATGTGTGCACTCTCCATCACAGGGGTTGATTAGGTTGGCTGGGTGGGGGGAATGGGCACCCTTTTGGCTCTCGCCATTTTCTCCACCTCGTGTCCCTCTTGCAGTTGGGTAATTGGTGAAGAGGACAAGTTTCTCAAAGAGGGTAGGAGCAAGGGCATCAATAACAACAACAAAAATCAAGAACTATTCCTCTGGGGGGAGTCAGCCAAGTACCAGGCACTACAGCAGGTTCTGGGAAGATGACCATAACAGACCAAGTCCTGCCTTTGTGGACTTAAATCTCATGAGGTCAACCAAAAACTGTAAAACAAAACACTAAAGTAAATTATCTTTATGAAATAGGCATCGCCTGCTAGTTTCTGTCTCAGCATCTCATCTGACTCATTCATAGCAGGGATCACAATCTAATTGTTATTATGTTTCTTCTTATTCCCAGTTGGTGGGCAGAGATTATGCCTGGCTCAATCACTGTTATATCCCAGGAGTCAGAGCAGAGTTTTACACCTCAAAAGTGCTCAATGAACATAGAGCAAATAGACAAAGAACCAACTGCTGCCTTGTGAAATTTTTTCTTTGGGCCAGAATTTAAACTTCAGATTCCTTCTTTGTTGCTGGCCTTGGTCAGTCACCACCCTAAGTAACGGAAATTGAAATGAAAATACACTTTCATACTCCATGCAGCTTTTATTTCATAAAGTTTGTGGGTTTCTTAAGGAGATCATTTTATCCCAGATTAACCATCCATGACTTAATTAAAAAGTCTACCAGGGGACATTTGTCTTCTGGATTTGACACTTGTACATAGAAGTGTCTGGGGTTAGGGACACCCAGGAGACTGGGTTTCAGCGCTGGGCAGTGTGTTGAGTTGGTCTAGAGAGTGGTGAATGCCTGTGAGGAAAAGAGCTTCTGACTGTCATCCCTTCTCCTTTACCAGGGCGGCCCTCTTAGGGTAACAGGTTACTGTTAATGTGCCACGTTGACCATATCATTAAGTTCTAGGAATGGAACTATAGCAGCGTAAAGTTCTATTATCTGACAATAACAGGTAGCTGCATATATCTGAATAGCTTATAGTTTGGGTATTATGTAACCATTTATTGTGCCTCTACTATGTGCCAGAATTCATTCCAGGAACTTTACACAAATCACCTATGAGTCTCACAACATCCTAACCTGGTAGGCATTATTTCCATTTTACATATAACATCCAAGAGCCTCAGCCCCCACTTGGCATTTCCAAAGATCCCTGGTATATTACTGTAGCCTCTCAAAGCAAGAGAAGCTGGACTCAGGGGCAGCCCAGGTTGTCCTCGGCCACAGCGTACCAACACAGCTGTTCCCCACTCTTGCCCGGCACCCTCCCCCCATACTAACGGATCGCAGCCTTCTCCCACTTGATGTCCTGTGTAATCCTTCTCAATACAGTGCTCCAGGAGGATGCTACCAAACATTCCGGACTGCACAGGAGTCGTAACCTATTTGTCAAACATGCTTTAAACAGTGTGTATAAAGGATTTTGCCCTAGGAATTAGAATCACACTGTAGCTGTGTAACTTTGAGAAAATTGTTTATTTCCTTTGACCTCAGTTTATTTACCTGTAGAATGGGAGCTCCCCATTGCTGTACTTACCTCTTGCCTTAAAAAGTCACCATGTAACTATAAGCCAGTGAATTGTCTTCACTGATACCACAGTGCCACTTTAATTGTAACTGGATATGACTCAGTAAGGATCAGGACCCTATGGAAATATGAAGCATTCTCAAAAATGGCAAGTGGCTACCACCACCTTCTCAAAGCTCCCCTCAAAGTGGAGTATTTGACTCCCTAAGAACCACTTGGCAAGCTCGTTAATTCCTGAGCACCATCCCAGAATGGCTGGTTTAGGGTCCTAGCTTCTGGCATTGGATTTCTGAATCATTCCAGTGCTTGAGTGCAATAATGTACAGGATCTAGAACTCCACTGCTCTGGATAGGTTCATGTTCACCTTTGGGATTTTAAATATCTAGGTAGCTGGCTATGGCACACGAGGCCCCAGTCCTCTTCCCGTCTTTGTCTGGCAAACTCTTATTCATCCTTCTGGCCTAATCAACTGTCTCTTCCTCAGGGAAGACCTCCCCAACCTCCACCCAGCCCAAACTGATTAATCCTAACCATGCTCCCAGAGCCCTTGAGCCCACGGTCTGAGTGCCTACTGTGTACCAGGCGCTCCACTAAGCTCTGATATGTACTAATGTAATTATTCCTCTCTCTTTGAGAATAGAAGCAAATGCCCTCGCTTCCATTTTAGAGCTGAGAAAGCATGACTCAGAGAAGTGAAGTGACTTTCCCTAGGCTGTTTGGATCTTACTGCGTTATAGTTAATCATATCAGAGCCTGTCCCTTCTCCATGAATGTAAGTTCCTTAACCATGAGAGTTGCTAATCTTTGCATTTCCAGGGGCAAACACACATCCTGGCACATAGTGGATACACGACACATCTTTGTTGAGTTGAAGTGGAGAAATACTAGAACAAGAATAGTAAGATGGACAAGGACAGGTCTGGTTTCTTTGCAGTCTCTGCCAGTGTTCATTTTCAGGGTCTGATAGAGGAGGAGGAAGGGGTGGACTTCTTTGGCAGCTGAAGGCCCTTGACTCCATTGTCACTTCGTGTCAGTGATTTGATCCTTTGGTAGCTTTCTGCCAAGTAGGATGGGAGACTTAGCAAGTCACAAATTAGGGACTCAATACTTGCCTGGTTGGTTGAACTGGGATTCAGAAGAGAGGTGAATATTCCTTTTATGAACCATTAGAGTGGTTTTAGATGGAGTTCCTGTTCTTTTTATATAGAGGAAAATATATTTTTCTTCATCTAACCTGGCAGACTTCCTTGGTCATAAGTTCATTTGAAGTACAGTGTTCTTCATTTCAAGTAATAACTTTTATGAATCTCAGTGTTTATGGCTATAAAAGAGGAAGGAAGATTGGAGATGGTGTGCAAGTTTCTTTCCAGCATTCTGGTTCTGCAATTACATCAGGACCCTGGATGAGGTTTAGAACAAATTGAAATTACCCAAGTACAAAGCAGCTCTAAAAATGGAATATCTTTAAGTAAAATAGATTTTCTTTCCAGTCTAGTTTCTCTTCCAAGCTAGTCAGAATCTGAACTTTGTGTCTAAATTTCTAAACCTTGATATATGAAGATATTTACAAAAAAAAGATACAAAAGGGAACAAAGTTTAGCAGCATGAATACAAATAATAATGCAGACCACTTGCCCTAGAGCTTCATATTTCCCTGCATTTTATTTTATTTTTTTGGTAAAGATGTTGAAAGCATATATTTTTTTAATTGCTCACACTATTACAGATGTCCCGCAATCCCCACCCACCCCCCAACCTTTGCCCACCTCCACCCAGCCCCTGCCCCCTGGCCTTTACCACACTGTTGTCTGTGTCATGGGCTATGCATATATATGTTCTTTGACTAATCTCTTCACCTTCTTTTATCCAGTCCTCCCCCACCACCTCCCCTCTGAGATTTGTCAGTCTATTCCATGTATCCACTCCTCTGGATCTATTTTGACACTTCTCCAGAGAGGACATACAGAGGCCAATAGATGATACATGAAAAAATGTTCAACATCATTAATCATCAGAGAGATGCATATTAAAACTGCCGTGAGGTATCACCTCACATCTGCCAGAATGGCTACTATCAATAAATCAACAAAGAACAAGTGTGCTGGTGAGGACGTGGAGAAAAGGGAACACTTGTGCGCTGTTGGTGGGTATGCAGATTGGTGCAGCCACTGTGGAAAACAGTATGGAGCTTCCTCAAAAAAATTAAAGATGGAACTGACTTTTGACCCAGTGATCCCACTTTTGGGACTATATAAGAATCCCAAAACACCAATCAGAAAGCATATATGCACCCCTATGTTCACAGCAGTGTTATTTACAATAGCCAAGGTCTGGAAACAAACCAAGTGCCCATCAGTGGATTAAAAAAAACAACTTTGGTACATTTACATAATGGAATTCTATGTAGCTATAAAAAAGAAGGAACTCTTACTCTCTGCAGTGACATGGTTGGACCTGGAGATTTTTATGCTAAGTGAAATAAGGCAGTCAGAGAAAAACAAATACGATATGATCTCACTTTTATGTGGAATCTGATGAACAAAATAGTTTCCTGCACTTTCTTAGGCTTTCTTAGAATAGTTCATTTATGTAGCTTGGTTAAAGGTTTTGGACAACCGGGCAGGAATGACAAGGATTGCATGTACTAATTGGTTGCTTTTTTTCTTTCCTTAATCAAAGCCATAATCCATGTTTGCATCTGAACTTTGTTTTATCATTTGTTTTGCAGCGAAAACGGAAGCAGAGTGCCCAAGATGAAGATGCTGTTAGCCTTTGTAGTCTCGACATAAGTGTAAGTACAGTCCTTCCTATTCCCCTGCCATGGGAACACCTCTTGTTTCTGAATCTATTTGTTAACATGCTGTGCATGTTAAGTTAAGTGGGCTTCTAGGATCTGACTATGGCAGCTGTGACCTGGGGGCAAGCTCTTTTTAAAAATATTTCATTTTTACTGGAGAAAGCTTTGTGTCCAACTTAAACTTCCAAGCCAAGTTGTTTATCACCCATGTCTTTTCTCTCATAAAATGAATTATGAACTCGGTGCATCTGGGTCGAATCTAGAAAAATTCCATGGTGCTCTTTTTGAAGCTGGTTCCAGAAGATGGGCCAGCTGTTTGTCCACCTTCAGAGAAGTTAGCAAGTTGGCCCAACTCAGCAACTAGTGACCTGAAGGCCAGAAGTCTCCAGCAGCATGGCTGAGTGAGTGACTTTGGATTCAACAGATCTTAGTTTGAATTAAGATTCTCCACTTACCATTTGTGTGGCGCTTACCTCTGATTCCTCGTCTGGAAAATAGGGATGAAAAGATTTAACCTAACAAAATTTTTGTGAGGATGAAATAAAACAAAAGTGAAAATACTAAGCACATTACTTGGCATGTTCTAGGCACCCACCAACTGTTAGCCTCATTGTGTTTTTCTTTGAAAGCAGAACTTTGCAAAACAAATTTAAGTGACATGGTAGTAGAAAGCTGATGTTGAGAGGTAAAAAGCTTTCTTGGATTTTCCAGGCCCATATTTTTGAATGCCCAATTTTGGTACCTTTCTTTGTGTGTCCTCCTTCTCTCCTCACTGACACAGTGGGGTGCCGACCTGAGCCTCTGATGCCTTCCTTATCTGGGGGGTGGGGATGGGCGGGGATTCACACTCTCCCTGGGCTCCCCAAGTCTGTTTGTCTTTTGTACTTCCTTGGAGTTTAAACACTGTGCATGTTGGATCCATCTAACATTAGACCCAGGTCTTTCTTCTCTACTGAGACCACAGAAGCCATTGTTGTAAGATGAGAAGGCTTCTATGCTAAGAACTGGGTCATGGTTCTGGCTCTGCCCATAAATAACAGTGTAACTTTGGCCATCTTCTTTGCTCTCTGGGGCTCAGTACCTCCTTTGTTTTTTAAAAAGGGGTTTGAGATAAACTATTCTACAACCATTGTGAAAATTTGAATCTTCATAGCACATGGATTATTGGGCTCTTATCTGAGGACATTTAATTACCCGTGTAAACAATACTGTTTGAATTATTTTTAATTATTGCAGAGTTATCTGTGATGCAAACAGCCATGGTGGAGTGAGCCGGAGCTATCATTTAATTAATGCACTTGTACATCTTTCTTTCACTATATGGTGTTTGTTCCAGGCCTTAGGCCATCAGATTGATGGAGTTGGACCAGTTTACTAGGTGGCCTTCGTAGCAGTACTTCCAGGCTTTACTTTACTCAGTGAATGTTTTATTATCAACAAATAGTGTCTATGGAATTTTCCTTATCAGCAATAAGTTCTTTATGTTTGAATGTTTTAAATTTTGGGGAAATTACTAGAATCATTGGCTTTCAGAATTTGAAGAGCCCTTAACCACCATATAGTCTTATTCTCTCACTTTGCAAATGAAGAAATAGATGCCCAGGGAGGTATAGTGTTTTAGACAAGACTTTAATCTAGGTCATTTCTAAGATCATGCCTCATCGTTCATTATTCCTGGACCATATTTATTTTTTTTTAGAAAAACATGTGTCTAGTATCATTTTATCAAAAACCACTAAATTCTTTTATATGAAAAGATTAATATTTACAATTATGAGTTATGATTTGTTTTTTATTACTCTCTCTCTTTTTAACTATCTCATATCATGCTTTGTTGTAGTAGAGACACTTTTATGAAAAATAAATCTACCTTTATGCTTAGGGATTCAACTATGGCCAAACTCCTTTCCGATTTGCTGGGCATTTTTCCTGAAACTTAGTGATACAGATTCCAGAGCCTGGGCAGAGTTACCCCCAGATATTGTCACATAGTATTATAATAATTATGAACATTAGAAGAATCCTAGAAGCTGTGGGAGGCCATGAAAGCTGGCCTTTTGCAGGTTTCCTGACTGTCCAAGTCATATGAAAATGACAGGATGTGTGACTGAGATGTGGCCACAGAGGAAGTGGTACTGATTTTCAGTGCCTTGCACCTAGCAGACACTCAGTAGAGAGTAGATGAATCAAGTGAAGGGGTGGGTAAAGTCACTTGTGAGAAGATGTTTTGCCTTAAAGGCAACAATGTCTAAATAAATGAGTCCACTAAATTAATTGTTCTGATAAATGGCCTTTGTAGGCTATTCAAAGGTGCTTTTCAATGGTGATATCCAGTAGAGTTTTAGTCCCTTACCTAAGAAGCAGCATTACTGAAGAGTTGTTTTGAGACTGTTTCTATGTGTAGTGGAAAGTAGCATCTGAAAAAGAGGTGGGTTCCAACAGATGACTCATACTAGAGGATGCGAGGGTTTGGGAAAGTAATATTAGTAACTCTCGATTTTTATTCCATTTAATAAGTGGAAAGACATTCACCAGAGGTCTTTGAACAAGAAGGTGCTAGATTAGAGGACAGAGGTCTTTTGGGGATCATGGTCAAGTATCTATTGAGTCCCAGCCGAATGCTGTGTATACAGCATTACCAAGAGTGAGCTCTTGGTAAATAGTTATTAGTTGATGTATTTTAAAAATAAAAAACAGTGAGTTATCCAGGACATGGGGAATTCAACACACATACCACTTTTAAAGAAATATTATCTGTGACATAAAATTGGGAAATGTTAATGCAGGCAAAATCTTCCCCCTTTGATTAAAAAGTACACATAGAGCCCCTCAGGGTATCTGAGTGATGATAACACCAGACACTTCCCACTGACACTTTGCTTTATTTTAAAGCCTCAGATGCCGATTCTGTAGGTGATTGGAAGGGAGTTTTCCTATTAAGCTCCTCTCCAACCTCTTATTGAACCTGGGCTTACAGGCCAGATAGGAATGGCTAAGCTAAGAAAAGAGCTTATTGTTACAGAAAAGGATCCTCAGTTGCTTGGGGGATCACAGACTCCTCTGGGAATCTGGTAATAACACTGAGCTCCAAACAATTTCACAAGATTGATGTGTAATTTCATGGGCCCCATGGAGCCCAGCCAAGACCCCATGTTAAGGGTTCCTCTTGAAATAACATCGAAGGGGTCTTAAGGCACAGTGACGTATCTCCGAAGAACTATCCTCCCACATTTTGCCCCCACCACTTGGTGAAAAATGAATTGTGACTGGTGAGTCCACACTATTTAATGATATAATTGGTCTCTATTTTTTCCCACCACTTTACCCAATCCACTGGCTGAGTCCCCAGCTTCCTGGCAGGATAGAACACAAGCCGTTCCAGAAAAAAAAAGTAACCTGTACTTTTGAGAACAATTTGCAGAGTGGAGAATGCTCCCAGCAACCACCTACAAATCTCCTCTCACGTCAGAGGATATGAGTGGGATGATTTCAGGGACATTTCTTCTCCCACAGCACTTGTCTAGTTTAAACCCTAATGGATGAGAGGCCCCTGAGTGAGGAGCCGCGGCTTATGGTCCCCAGGAAAGGCCCTAGTGGAAGAGCCAGGTGCGCCCCCGATGGAGGGTGCTGCTGAGCACCAAGCCTCCTTTCTCAAAAGTGAGCTCGGGGGTGAGTATAAAAATAGTTCCCAATGATAAAAACAACATAAAAGATGAAAGAATATATATTTCCTTGCAGAAAATTTGGAAAATCTGAACAATAGAATTCATCAATAATCTCATCACAAAGCAGTAGCTACATTTTGATGTGTTACTTTCCTGGCATTATACACACCCTCACTTTACAATTTCTTCATTATGAAATAGTGCAGACATACAAAATGGTGTAAAAGATGATATAAAATTCCATGTAGTCCTTGCAAACCCCTTTCTCTGCTGAGTTTAATGTTTATTGTTGCCCTGCCTGTCTATGAACTTGATACATACATGTTTCCCTAAACAGCACATATTTTCAACCAGATTTTAAAGCTTACATAAGCACACGGCTTTTAAAATTGATATCATAACACATATTAATTTATTCATTTGGCTTTAATTTACTTATTGAGATCATGTTACCACATTGAAATAGTCTTCAAGAACATTATTTCGAGTAACTATAAAGTACATTGTCAAATGGATGCACCAAATTTATTTAACCAATTCTTTATTGGATATTTGGATGTTACAATTTTTGTCTATTGTAAGTAACACTGATGGGCATTCTAGAGCACCTTTGTGTAATCTTTTATTAGAAGGATAAAATGGATAAAATATGAAATTCCTGGCTAAAAGGGTATGGAGGTTTTTTTAAACCTGTGAACAGGTTTATACCCCTCTGGCAGTGAGAGGTGGAAATGCAATGCATAGCAGTTGAGTATTTTGCACAGAAACTCAGAGTGGGAGATTGTTTTCATGTTTCTCTGGCCCATCTCTCTTTGAACTATACCTCTCGTCCCTTGCTAAGGTCCATGACTTTATATGGGACACCTGCTTACACCCCTTCTTTAGGAAGAATCCTTCCTGCTGCTCCGGTGGGGATGGGGCTGGTGGCAGGGCTTCCTTTCCATGCTGGTGTGGCATCTCCAGGCTAGCAGGCTGAACCATGACTGGAAGTGGAATGAGATCCATTTAATATCACAACTGGCCTGCTACTGTCGGTATTACCATACCCATTTTGAAGATGAGGAAATAGAGCCTCAGAGAGATAAGCAGTTTGCTCCAAGCCCCAGCTTATTGTAGATTCAAGCCCAGGACCGTGGGATTCCACAGCTCCCCCATACTGCCTCCAGGGCAGGAAGGAGAAGAAAGCGTTTGGCTCCATGGCTTTTGGTGGTGAATGATGTATAGGATATTCATCTGGTCTCAGGGGCAAAGCAGCTTTGAGGTTTATGACATACATCCCCAAATTCCCATTACTGTGCTTTCTGGTTACTTACACTATTTCATGGACAC